TTAATTTAGTGACTAATGTAATTACTAAATTAATAGTTGGATTTTAAAATTAGATTTTAAAATTCAAATCCATATAATAATATGATTATTATATGAAAGGAGAATATTAATAATTAAATATAATATATATGTTTACAAATGATTTTAAAAGAGTTTAAAATTATTTGTTTATTATTATTATTGATTTTTAATGTTGATTAAAAATTAAATAATAATGATAATAATATAATAATGACAAGATAGAGTCTTGCAATTATTATATTGTTGTATTAACTTGTAGAAATGAGAAAAGATTTTTTAATTTTGCTTGTCAAAATTATTACAGACTTTTGTAACATTTCTTGTAAAAGTTATAAAAGTCATATATATTTTATTGCTAAAAAGTTTAGTATAAATATGGGCATGGTTGATGTTCATTTTTGCAAGAATTTGTGTTAACATTTTCACTTATAATTTGAGAGATAAAGAGTTAGTATTTCATTTTTGTAAACAAGAATTGTTCTTGTAATATTCTCCTATTTATATATTTCTATACTAAGTTATAAATCGAGTGAGTTCCTACTAGCGAAGGAGTCATCTCGTAGTCGGAAGCAAACGGTGAATACGTTTAGAGGGAAGACAAGTGGATTCCTAAAAGCGAGCAAACCGAAGTGTTCGTTATTAATCCGGGAACCAATTTCCTCAACCACCATCAAAAAGAAGGAGTTAGAGTTATAAGGTAATATTTGATATTACTTGTAATCTCTAATATTACTTGTAACAAATCAAAATTTGTATTATTACATGTTTTTAAAGATGACGATTTGTAAATTCGCCATATGTATATACGGGTTAAGTATTTAAGTGTTAAATACTTGTTTTGAAAAAATTTAAATTCCGCTGCGTATAGCCCGTGCGGTACAGGCGAACCCAACAGACGGAACCCGCACCCCAGGACCAACCGAAGAGTTGGCCCGCACTCCAATCACGAAGGGCAGCAAATACACCCCAACCCAGCCCGAGACACCAGAACACGATCAGATGACCAAGCACTAACCGGGAACAGCGAACCACCCCCAGCAGAAACCAAAGCCACCCACTGAGAACCCCCAACACCAACTCGCCGAGAGCCCTCCGGTCACGGACCCGAAAGAGAAACCGAGACAGAGCAGCAGAACGAGGCCAAACCTGCAATTGACCCGGCTTAGAGCCAAAACATGAGGAAGCCAAGGACGCTCGCTGCTTCACCGGCGGAACGGCACCGTCCCGACCGGCAACGAGAAAGGCGAAAGAAGGGAAAAGCATCCCAGCGGCCAGGTCGAACCGGGTATAGCTAACCTTTCCTCGTCCATAGACCAACACCACGTCCCGATCACCGCCGTCCAGACCCGAGCTCCGACAACCAACAAGGAAGGAGAACTTCCCCGCTGACTAGGCACGAAGCCGGAAGAGAACGGCAAAGATGGGAGAAGGCTGCACCTCCATAGACGAGCGACGGAGGCCGTCCACTTCAAGACCCAGATGACCGACGAGGGAGCAAGACCGGCGCAAATTGAGAAAGAGAGCTGCTAGGGTTATGGTGAAATTGGGAAAACGGCACAAATTTAATTGGTCATGGTATTAATTGGGGAAACTGCGTAAATTTAATTTCTAATACTTATAAATACTATTTTTTTTAATATTTGTCATGGTATTAATTGGTCATACTCTCAAAGTAACAAAAAGTATGCTATGTATTACATTTTACCCACTCAAACAAAAAAAAATTGTGATGTATGTGTATTACATTTTATTCAATTAATATAGATATTCATGTGTAGTTAAATAATTTATACGTATAGTATATTGTTTATTTATTAATAATCAAATGTATAAAATAAAAACAAAAATAATGACAGTTAAGAAGGAAAGAAAGAAAAATAGAAAAATAAAAGAGGGTTATTTACTGTCAAATAGCTTCTTATAAGTGTTGTCTACTTGTCTTTAGTGTTAAGTATTGGGGAGAGAGAAAACAAATTGGTGTGCTTTGTGGTTTTCAACTTACATACATATATAGACTCTTGAATTTTTGTACAGCATATCCCAAAATTGGGTACCAATTTAAGTTTCATTCTCTCTGATTACAAATTACGACAGAATAGTTCCGTAACGGGATCATAGCATCTCCTCTGAACATAATAATTAAACATTAATTATTATATGCTCCATGCATATATAACAAAATTGTTATTAAGTTTTTGATAATAATTTATTTCAAAAAGTTTCATTGCGGACAATATTTTTGGGAAACAAAGATCTTTGATTTTGATTAAAATAAAATATTTTTCGTCTCTAAAATTTTTCTAAT